ACTCTCGCTGCATACTGCTAGCAACGTGCAACCTTCGCATAATTTACGTCGCTCTCGTACTTGGCACTTGCCAACTCCGTGGACTGACCGCTGTCTCCATTCTCCCCTGTACAAGGCCCTTCATTACTTTAATTGCCTGCCCACCCAGCTTCGCGAAATCCCTTCTCGTACTCCCTTCAAATCCGAGATATCCCTGCTGTTGCACAACTCTGTATGCTCGTGTAGCGACCACCCCTGCCCGTACACTTAAGTACACAACTCTGTATGCTCATGTGGCGACCACCCCTGCCCGTACACTTAAGTAGTCATTAACCCCTAGGCCCTGCCCACCCAATTCTTCCTCACTCTTTTTCCTTTCTTACACTATTATCTCATATTGGCCACTGGCTATCATGAGAATAAAGACTTGAAACAACAACAACAACAACAACAAAAACAACAAGACTAAGGTCTACACTCACCAGTGATTCTTTGTCTCACATCTATCAGACATGCATACTACCTATATTCTCATATGCGAGCAATGCTCTCACGCCGTTGTCACACACTTCTCTTGACAGGCTAGAACGACTCCAGCGGAAAGCCGCCATAATATGTCTCCACCTTCCCCTTTACACACACTTAGAGCACTCCCACCTTTTGCATCGCATCAAATGGCCAACCTAAATAATAATAATAATATTATCAGTCAAGTCAGTCAAGTGTCAAGTAAAGTCGGCGGAATAGCGCGAGCTCCGGTGTGGGGAGCAAACCTTTCTTACAAATATTTTCACGCTTTAAAGTTAAACATATACTCTTCGCGCATTCTCAGCGCCACAATTATGCCCCACCACATATACTCTCGCTGCATACTGCTAGCAATGTGCAACCTTCGTATAATTTACGTCACTCTCGTACTTGGCACTTGCCAACTCCGCTGACTGACCGCTGTCTCCATTCTCCCCTGTACAAGGCCATTCATTACTTTAATTGCTTATCCGCCCAGCTTCGCGAAATCCCTTCTCGTACTCCTTTCAAATCCGAGATATCCCTGCTGTTGCACAAGTCTGTATGCTCGTGTAGCGACCACCCCTGCCCGTACACTTAAATACACAAATCTGTATGCTCGTGTGGCGAGCACCCCTGCCCGTACACTTAAGTAGTCATTAACCCCTAGGCCCTGCCCACCCAATTCTTCCTCACTCTTTCTCCTTTCTTACACTTTTATCTCTTATTGGCCACTGTCTATCGTGAGAATAAAGATTTGAAACAACAACAAATTATACTGGGGGTAGAGAATCAGCCAGAAAATTCTTACGCGCCTCAAGTTCACGCTACATTACCATAAGAATGTATGGAGCAGTGGAAAAATGCGGGAAACAACACATGAAGGGAATGCAGTACCAGAACAAACACGTGATAAAGTTGTCAGTCTGGTTTTGACTTGAACAGCGACAGCACTTTGATGTGCTTCTTTTGTTGACACAGTTCTGGCCTCAAACTGCGAATGTATAGCACCTCCAGCGTGAATCAGTGCGCGCTGTTCCAGGCTGGTGTGATGACACTGAAGCTGCTGTTTCTTTCCTGCTGTTGCGTTTCGTTATTGTTCATAGATAAGTTTTATGACCAGTTGACGAAAGTATTACACGACGTCCGGGGCAGCTCAGCTATACTGGTGCTGGGAGACTTCAATTCCAAAGTGGGCCGTAAGCAATGTTATGAAGAGTGCCTGGGAAAATACAGTAAAGGCAAGCGGAATGCCAATGGAGACGCTCTCATTGAATTTGCGCAAATGAACAATCTTCTAATGAGCAATACGTGCTTCCAACACCCAAGCAGACATCTAACCACCTGGGAAGGCAAGAGCCCAGCCGGTAAAAGGATCTTCAATCAGATCGACTTCATACTATGTAACTCGAGACAAAGAGCTGTGCTGCAGGACGCCAGGTCATACGCTGGCACAAGAACCTTTTCTGACCATCGCCTAGTTATGGCCCGTGTAAAATTTAAAGCTCTTCACCCTGTGTGGAACCGAGGCAAAACAATTCGCAAACGCAAGTTCAACACCATGAGACGGCTCAATGACAAGAAAATGCAGAAATTATACCAAACGAAAATGGAAGAAGCGGCACCTCAACTCCTCAATGTGGCAGAAGCAAGCGCAAGACTCACGGCAACATGCTCATCCATTCGCAAGGTGGCAACTGGAGTAGTCGGATACACACCGAGCAGAAGCAAGCTACCCTACGCTACGGATGAGGTAGACAAACTCTCAGAATTGCAGAGGAAGCTGCGTATGGATCTTAATAGCACACCAAACATGAATAGAAGAAATGAGCTGCGAGTGCAGCGTAACAGAGTGCAGAAGGAAATCCGAATCCTGTCTCGACAGCTGGCGTTACAGAATCTTGAGAGCCGCATCAGAGAAGTGGAGTCGCTCAAGAACGGGCCAACGATGTTTGCAGCGATAAAACTGCTGAAACCAAAGTGCCCACGAGATTTAACCATTGTAGACAACAACGGCAAGGCTGTCCTTGGGCCAGGAGAGCAAGCGGATAGAATAGCTGAGCATTACACTGGGAAATTCTCTCCTACTGCTGCAGAGCCAGCGGTTACGCCATTCACAGGAACCCCGAAACCCCTCGATAAACCGATTTCCACAGCAGAGGTAGCGAGCGCAATGAGTCATCTAAAGAACCAACGCTCCTGCAGGCCTGATGACATACCGGCTGAGCAAGTCAAATACGGAGGCCGTGCACTTGCAGAATGCCTAAGCAGCATTTTCAACGATGTATTCACTCAGCACAGCCAAGCGTCCCTTGGAGATGGTGTACTAATCGCTCTGCATAAGCCAGGTAAACCCAAAGGCCCCATGAACAATTTGCGTCCGATAACATTGCTGACTACTGCCAGAAAAATCTTGTCCCTCATCACACTTAGCCGGATCAGAGCTGACGTAGAGCGATATATATCTCCATCGCAAGCCGGGTTCCGTCAAAACAGATCAACCGCAGACATTGTGTTTTGCAAACGGATCCTGGCATCAATTGTTGAACGCTTCAACACTACTATCTACGTGCTAGGGCTGGGCCTGAGCAAGGCTTTTGACACAATAAACCGCACAAAGCTGCGTGATGTCATGGAGCAAGAGAAAATTGGAGACGCGGACGGTTTACGACTGGTAAGGTACCTGCTATCTGGCACGGCGCTGACAGTTCGCGTGAACGAAGCACAGTCCGCACCTTTTGAGACAGCTCGGGGGGTCCCCCAGGGCGATGGTTTGTCACTGGTACTGTTCACGGTTTATTTGGAAGCAGCCCTACGAATGGTACGTGACCGACTGCCAGCCCGACCATCAGCAGACAACATTCTACCTGAAGAAACAGCTTACGCCGATGACGTAGACTTCATCTCCACATCAAAATCATTCCTTACCAGCGCCCTACCCGTCATCGCAGGCGTCTTCTCCGAATGGGGTCTTACCGTCAATACCAGTAAGACTGAGTGGATCCGTATTTACCTGGAACCCACTTTGGGAGATGCCACCTCTACAACATCTAGAAAGGTCGGCACAACTCGTGGTAAAGAAGCTTGGCGACAGGTGAAGACACTCGGCTCGCTATACGGCTCCGGGGAGGACGTAACGCGCCGTATTGGCTTGGCCGCAAGAGCATTTGGAGACACTCTGAAGTTATGGTTCAAACACAACCTGCTTTCTACACCCATCAAAATTCGTTTATACAACACTTTCGTTCTACCAATCTTGACCTACAACCTTGCTTGCCATGGCCTGTCCTGTCATGGCCTAGATGTGTTTCATAGGAAACAGCTGCGGTGTACCCTTGGAATTACCTACCCAGATGTCATCTCGAATGCAGATTTATATGCTGTTACTGGCCAGTGCTCTGTATCTGAAATGGCCAAGCGGGACAGGAGGAAGCTATTAGGACATATATTACGCCAGCCAAGTGACATCCCTGCAAATGTTGCTCTCACTGCTTTCTGTACATATGCTACCAGTCAGCCCTTTCGAATAGGTGCACCCCGCTCTTGCCTCACCACAAGTCTCCAGCGAGACGTCCACCTTACACCTATCTGCATTTTTAAGCCCAGCTGCCTTCGTGATCTCGGCCCCTATGCCCGCGACAGAAAACAATGGAGTAACATCTGCTCAGCCATTTAGCCTAGTACTGCTCTTCTTAAATTTGACCTTTATTACAAGACTCTTCTTTTCTTTTTCATTTCGTTCTCCCACTCTCACACACACACACATGCTCACGGTTAATTCTGCCGTCGTGAGTCCCATTCTGGACGGATACGAGAATAATAATAATAATAATTGTTCATTCCCATTTAACTACTGATGAAAATGGTTGAAAAGCTTTTAGTATTATGAAATTGACAACCTTGTTGTTGTGTGTATATACATTTCGTTCGCCTACCTCTCTATTTAAATAATATATATACACCTGTCAACAAACAATGGATCACTCGTAACTAGTACTTCAGTAGTGTTTTGCTACTCTGAGTTTCATGCACTGTGTGCAATCATCAGGCAAAAATATTCAATATTGTTTGCCTGATGATTGTACACAGTGCATGGAACTCAGAGTAGCTAAACAGTACAAGTGATCCATTGTTTGTTGACATGTGACATTGCTCCCCACCAAGAAATTCGGTGTTGAGCCCTTTTTTCTGCAGCTGCAGGCATAGTCTTATTGATTATAATAAAATTATACTCAACCTGTGGACAGAACTGGTTCGTCCTTTGTGGACTCATCATAGCTGGACAGAGGAAATGAGATCGAACCTGGTAGCAATGAAAAATGAATGGCCCGAACGTACCTTGCCAAAGTTCTCAAATTGTCAAGTCGGCATAATTTCCCACCTTTTCGCCACCTCCGTTTGTTCCGCATATGGTCTATCAGCACAATATATGTGAATGTGAATATCCTCTGCATAATTTCAAGAAGCCATGCAGAACTTCTAGTAGCATGGACATTGCATTGGCTAATGCCTACCTGGAATGGACCAGATGTAACTGCTGGGACAGTGTTCAAGAGCACTCGTGCGTGGAGCCAATTGTTACCCTTGTTTCCGCTTTGCGTGAAGACCCTGACATTTGCAGTGGAAGTCTCCACGTAGACGTTCAGCGTAACGATGTCGTCACCGTACATGTGGTACCAGAAAGAGAAGGTACAGACATTTGGGTGTAATGTGGTGTAATGTGGTGAGTAGATAATGGCATTTTCATCAGGCCTTGGATGAGTGGCCTCGATATACAGGTAGTGACCTAAAAACACGCACACATAGCCGTAGAAGTGGAACATGCCTTGTTGTTCGCCCATAGAAAGAGGTATACTCATATACGGCCACATCACGTTCATTCACGAAGCATTGAACATTCATGAGGCCATTGAAAATAACTGACCGGTTAGCCAACAATTGGGTGCAAGCTATGAGTAACGGCACGTCAATTCAACTACAAACTAAGCAGTTAGGCAGTGCCACAATCGGATACAAAACTGACAGATTTCTAGCATCTGCCTCAACCCGACATTTAGCTCCAACTAGCCGATCTCCATCTAATGCACATACAACCGTGATAGGATTTCTTGTAGATCAGATCTTCCAGCCCGTCCTATCATGCCAAACAGTTGGACTCATATCGGGCTGACACTGGCAACACAAATCACTTACCAGCCATATTTGAACGATCTGACACGGGACCTGTGCCCTCCCTGAATGTTGATCCACGTTTTCTCGTCCAGTCAAATTGATCAATGCTAGTAGCTTGTGTGTAGCCGCTCAGTCCTGTTGTGAAGTCAGCAGTGGATGCTCTGCATGCTGATATACGATAGACATGTATAGCAAACCCACACACATGTTGCAGTACACAATCACGCGTACACGCCCACGAACACACACACACACACACAAAATTCGTACACAAATGCTCACGGAGGTACGCACAGGAAGATGGTACAATAATAAATCCTAAGACTCTTCGAAATTTGGGTCCGTTAAGGTCCATTCACATACTAGTAGTAGTAGTAGTAGTAGTAGTAGTAGTAGTAGTAGTAGTAGTAGTAGTAGTAGTAGTAGTAGTAGTAGTAGTAGTAGTAGTAGTAGTAGTAGTAGTAGTAGTAGTAGTAGTAGTAGTAGTAGTAGTAGTAGTAGTAGTAGTAGTAGTAGTAGTAGTAGTAGTAGTAGTAGTAGTAGTAGTAGTAGTAGTAGTAGTAGTAGTAGTAGTAGTAGTAGTAGTAGTAGTAGTAGTAGTAGTAGTAGTAGTAGTAGTAGTAGTAGTAGTAGTAGTAGTAGTAGTAGTAGTAGTAGTAGTAGTAGTAGTAGTAGTAGTAGTAGTAGTAGTAGTAGTAGTAGTAGTAGTAGTAGTAGTAGTAGTAGTAGTAGTAGTAGTAGTAGTAGTAGTAGTAGTAGTAGTAGTAGTAGTAGTAGTAGTAGTAGTAGTAGTAGTAGTAGTAGTAGTAGTAGTAGTAGTAGTAGTAGTAGTAGTAGTAGTAGTAGTAGTAGTAGTAGTAGTAGTAGTAGTAGTAGTAGTAGTAGTAGTAGTAGTAGTAGTAGTCGTAGTACCGTATTTTACCGGTTGTAAGTCGACCCCGGTTATAGGTCGACCCCCGTATCCTGAGGTCTCAATTCTGCGTTTTAAATTTTCACCCAAAGAAGCACTACTAACCACTCCCTACTGCTTACACATCAACAAATCATGTAAACATTCCTTATTGGAGGGTATAACGTCCCAATCCTTGAAAAAGACCAATAAACTGGCAAAGTGTGTACACATGGTGCACTCGTACATGCAGTACAGATCATTTTTTGTAAGATACTGATAGTTTCCGGTTATAAGTCGAATCCCGGTTGTAAGTCGACCCCCACACTTTCTCCTTCTATTTTTAGTTGTAAAAGGTCGACTTATAACCGGAAAAATACGGTAGTAGTAGTAGTAGTAGTAGTAGTAGTAGTAGTAGTAGTAGTAGGAGTAGTAGTAGTAGTAGTAGTAGTAGTAGTAGTAGTAGTAGTAGTAGTAGTAGTAGTAGTAGTAGTAGTAGTAGTAGTAGTAGTAGTAGTAGTAGTAGTAGTAGTAGTAGTAGTAGTAGTAGTAGTAGTAGTAGTAGTAGTAGTAGTAGTAGTAGTAGTAGTAGTAGTAGTAGTAGTAGTAGTAGTAGTAGTAGTAGTAGTAGTAGTAGTAGTAGTAGTAGTAGTAGTAGTAGTAGTAGATGATACATGGAGTGTGACTTGCACCAAGGAAAAAGAAGTCAATAAGGATATACAACGGTCACTAGAGTAATTTTACATGCAGGAATCAGAAAAAAAGCTAGACAGACAGATAGTGGTGGATACTTACCGTTTGTTGTAGCTGGTGCACGATGCAGAATGTAAAAGCCAGCGATGGAGCACAAACACATTCACGCGTGAATTCAAACAAACACGCACGCACACGCACACGTGCACACACACGCACACACACACACATGCACACACACGCACGCACACACACGCACACACACGCACACACATAATTATGGTATAGACATGTAGACAAGCACACACGCACACACACACACACACAATAGAATTATTTTCTAACAATGCTTTATGCACGTTGTATAGATGCAAAAAATCCAGTAGAATTTTGTAGCATACATGTATCTCAGAATCTTATAGAACCTGGCAGACCCGGTTGGTGTCTCTCTCACGTAGTTGTAGATATCGTGAAAACAACAGTACATCCTGCATTGTGTGACCCGTGCAATTACTCCTTGCCACATTTGAGGCCAGAAAAGTCCAAGAACAGGGAAATAGAAATTCAGCCAGGTTTTACAACATTCGGACAGGTATGCCATGGCAAAATGTATGGAGAAGCAGATCCAAAACCCAAATTTTTGAGATTTAAAGTGAGTTTTTGATTCTCAATTCGACCCAAATCCTACTTTCAAAAGCCAGCGGGACAGTTTCCGATGAATGGACTGTAGTACCCTTGGACATCTCTTATCCGGGCACCTTGGAACTGGGCACTGCCCTATATCAGATTTTCCTGCACGTCAGGATAATCCTACCTGCCGTGCATCATACTACTGCAAGCTTTGATGAAGTTGGCATGTATTGCACTTGTCCCAGATTTAAAAAAGAATCCATCGATTTGAACGTGTGAACTGCAGAGGTTGGCAAGGACAAGACATTTAAAAAGGAGCATGTGCATGCACGCCATTGAGGAAATAGTAGAGAACAATGCACTTTTTGTCATAGCAACTCAAGTTGAAGGTGGCAGGTGCAGAGACTTGCCCACATCTGAGAAGTGCGGATAAGAGATGTATGAGTGTAATTAACTGGGGAAATTGTCACGGTGCGAGGTGAATAGCAATTTCTGGACATGAAAATAAAATAGAGGCCCACTGGCTGTGTGTTTTACATTTTTCATATCTTTTTGTACCTATTGTATGGCCTAATCCTTCATCTTTCCAAATATGTGACAATTGCTCATGCTGTGATCCCAGAGACTGTATAGCAGGATGTTTTCGACAGGCCAATTTTTTGGCCTAAAATTCAGTGTATGGAATTCTGGACATGAGAGTAAAATAGCGTCAATAGGCATCCTATACTGCACCATTTTTGTTATTTTTTCTATTGGTGGACTGCAGTTGGCCTCTCCACACTTCCAGCCAGCAGGTCCAAGACTATACAGCGTCTGAAGTGGAGTTCACATGGGGAAGCCAACGATTCGTCCATTACTTCTTATTTTACTCAAATTCTCATGCGACATAGTACCACAAAACTCGTTGAAATGCCTCCCAAGAAAAGGCTATCAACAAGGCACCGACACGAGGAGAAACTACAACAGCCCAGCTGTCAACTACAACAAGAAAAAAGTTCATCAACCTGACTGACTTGACTCTACACGCGACGAAAAATTATTTTACTCGAAATGTCCAGAAATGTACAATGTCCAGAAATAGCAATTCACCTCGTAGTGCTTCCCAAACCTACCTGCTGAATTAACGTATTGTCCGGGTGTAATAACAATTTCACGGACTGCGTGAAACTCGGCTGGGAAGCCGAGTTTTCCGGGCATAGCAGCTTCATTAGTACTATAATTCCCGTAGCTATGCAGAAGACATTACTTCAGTAACGTCTGGCGCTAGCCAGGGTCCACACAGCTTTAATTTGGTGTTTGTTTGTTTGTGTGTTTGTGTCACGCCTGGCGCTATCCCGTATCTGTCCCGTACCGTACCGTACCATCAAACACAGCTGGCCACATACAGCTGGCCGCACTATTCAAATAGGGCTTTCAAATGCAAGATCATAACGTGAAACAACTTGGAAGAATGAGTATGGATGTGAAGTGTATGGGGGAATGCATGTAGGGCGATAGTGCGGGTTCGAATCCCAGGTAATGGCCTAAAAAAATAGGAAAATTGAAAAATTTATAACATCCCTATTCTTGTTTTGCGGTGTATGGTGTCGTATTACCCTCGGCTGACCACAATGCATATTCAAATAGGGCTTTCAAATACAAGATCATAACGTGAAACAGCCTTAGATAGATATTCTGAATCTTACGCTGAAAGCACGCTTTCAGTGCCATAGTACCCTGCGAAAGCAGCGGGCAGCGACGGTGTCCCAGGATTTCTCCTGAAGTCCTGTGCTGAGGTCCTCACACCATCTGTCACCACACTCTTCAACCTGTCACTGCAATCTGGTGCAGTGACTGTCGGTTTCAAGTTGGCGGCTGTAAGCCCGCTGTTTAAGTCTGGGGATCCGTCTCAGCCGACAAACTATAGACCGGTGTCGCTACTTCCGATTTTGTCAAAATTACTGGAAAAGCTGGTCCAGCGGCAGCTTGTACGGCACCTCGACCACACCGACGCTATCCCGGAAACTCAGTTTGCATTTCGCCGGCAGCACTCGACGGGTGATGCACTAGCCTTACTGGTTGATCAGTTGCAAATGGCTCGAGATAAGAACGACTCCTCTGGAGTGTGCTTCCTTGACATATCGAAGGCCTTCGACAAAGTGCGGCATGAAATTATGATCCAGGACTGTTTTGAAATTGGAGTTGGTGGTACGGTGATGAAATGGCTCGTTAGCTACCTTACAAACCGGACACGACAAGTCCGCATCAGTTGCAAACTGAGCAACATCACAGTATGCACAAGAGGAGTACCCCAAGGATCTGTATTGGGGCCCATCTTTATCAATATCTACACCCGAGTGGTAGCTGCAGTAGCTCAACCGACCCCTAGTAGACTGTTTGCTGACGATATTGCACTATACCAAAGTGGTTCCAACACGGCAACTATTTCACTGGGACTCTCATCATCCGTCACTGCGCTGGCCGACTGGCTCGAAAACCGCGGCCCGATATTGAATGAACGCAGAAGTCAAGTTCTGTCCATCTGTGGTAGGGATGCGCCAACCAGCATCGCTGTAAATTGCCATCAGACCTGCTTACCTGCTTGTACTGCGGCCAAGTACTTGGGTTTAACCATCACCAAGCAACTGACCTGGGACCACCATATCCACGATGTTACAGCGAAGGAGAACAGGAAAGTCGGAGCATTGTGGCGAGCCCGGCGATCCCTTTCCCAGAAGGCCAGGGTCCAATACCTAAAATCCGTTGAGATGCCCGCCATATTATTATGGAAGTGTGGCCTATACTTCTTCGGTAAGCCACCAAAGGGAGAGCACATCCCTCCGCAAAATCGAGGAGACACAACACCACCGACTCCTCGATCTCGTCTGGCACGGCCTGAACGGCCAAAGTAGTACAGCGCTTTCAAAGCAGCTGGCGCCCGCAATCACGGCCACAACTCGACATCAAGCCAA